CTGCTGTATTGCTTTAAATATCTGATGAGAAATTGACCATCCATGTCTGTCGTTCCTCTCTCTCGATGCCCAGTCTGCTAGTACGTTGTCATTGCCTGGGATGTGTTCTACTGACAGCGATATCCTGTACTTTAGACACATTTCCCAAATCTCCTCCGCTAGAAGACTTATCTTGGGGGAGAATGTACCTCCCTGGTTGTTCAGGTAGGACACTGTCGTCATGTTGTCACTCTTTACTAATATCAGTTGATCCTTTAAGTGACTCCAAGCAAGAAGGACTTTCTTTATCACCATGAGTTTCAAAAGGTTTATGTGTGTATTGGCAAGATCTTTCTCTCAACGACCATAGACTGGTTGTCCATTTAATACGGCACCCCCTCCTGTCTTGAATACATTGGTATAGATAGTTGTCGAAGGCTGTTCCACTATTATGCTCCTTCCATTCCACGTTATCAACTCGTCTATCCACCTCTCGAGTTAATGTCTGCTTTCCTAGAACAGGACCAGGATAGCTTGCCAGCCCTTATCTCATATCGCTCGGTTCTTGTTCCTCAGAAGAGCTCGTGAAAAAAGCCTTGCGGGGAAGATGGCATTGGTTGTTGCGTTCAGTTTTCCTAGGAGAGCAACCAGCTTACGTATGTGGATCATGTTCTTCTTCAGTATGGTCTGGCATTCCCTGACAATATCCTTTATCTTCCTGGTTGGTATTGTTAGAGCGAGATTCGTTGAATCTATGTTGAACCCCAAAAACTCTATGGATGTTGTAGATTCCAAAATTGACTTTTCTTTGTTAAGTATGAAGCCTACTTGCTCTAGGAGACCACAGGCCCGGTGAGTATGATATCGTGACTCCTTTTTCGAGCTGGCTATGATCAGAATGTCATCTAGGTAGACGATTAGTCTGATTCCTCCTGTCCTCAGGAGGCTCACTACCGGTTTGAGAATTTTCGTGAATATCCTGGGACTCGCTGAGAGTTCAAAGAAGTCTCCTTTTTTTACCAAGGAGCCCAGCATCGAAATATTCTCCATCTTGAAGTGTTGGTGGGAAATAAACTCATTTAAATTCCTTAAGTCGATCACTGGCTGGAAGTCCCTAGACTTCTTTGGTACTAAGAATAGTTTCAAAATGAAGCAAGGTTCGTTGGAATCCAGGGAAAAGATCACGCCTTGATTCAAAAGAGACGAAATTTCTGATTTTAATGTATCTAACTCCCCGGATTTGTAGGTAATATGTGATATAACCTGTGTTCTTAACGGTAATTGTTTTGACCATGTAGGTGAGAAACCCTCTTTCAGAGTTTGGACCGCCCAAGCATTGTCAAACGTCTTGGCCCAGGTAAGATAAAAGTTCTTTAACCTTGCCTCCACTTCGTGGGTTACTGGTCGTTCTGACGTGACTGATGTTGGGGTCCGAGTTGCAAAAATCCTGGTTTCTTTGTTCGAAACTTGAGTTCTTCTTATAGTTCTTGTTGTATTTGCTCTTGTAACCTTGGGGTTTATGTTTGAAGCCTTTCTGGAACGATTGTGATCATTGCTTTTGCCATTGCGCGTCGTTAAAAAACTTGTTAATCTCATTCTCTTCTGAGATAACTTGTTTAAGTTTGTCGTCGAAAAGAGTTTCGGATTCGGGCTTAGGCTGATGGTATGGATTAATACACCTGATAGCCAGATCCCGTCTGTATTCACCGACATAAGACAAGGAATCAAGGAGAAGTGTCCTAGAAGCGAGGAGCATCGATTCCATGATCGTCTAAGTCTCCGAGGCGTCACGATTGTCTTGCGGTGGCTTGCAGTCATACAGGGTCTTGATGGCGAAATCCAAGGGCCTGAGGGTCGCAGAAGTATGGTATGAGATCTTGGATAGGACCCTGTCCACGTTCTTAACTTGTTTTGACATCTGTTTCGATAACTCTTTGTCCATAGCAGGAGGAGAAAACAAATAGATGAACATAGTATAATAAAAAAAACAATAAATATTAAATCCTTATCACTAAATATATTAAATTGCTAGAGAGTAATTAGATATAGGCTAAAGAGTCATTGTTTTAAAAAAAAAGATTGCATATACCTATATGTGTTTGCCTATATTTTTTGATTTCCTTTTGTTATTTCTGGAACTTAGTATAGAAGAAAGATATTTTGGTAATACTTGGTTTTCATTGCTATTATTACCTCAGTCCATGTTATAATTGTTGAAAAGAAATTCAAATTTGTATTTCTGTTTGATCACTGTGTTATATATATAAAAATAATGCTATACTGAATTCTAGTGACAATTAGGAAATTCTCATAAATCAAAAGATTCAATCTAAAGGCTACTGCTTGCTCTTGTTTAATATGAACAATCAACTTTAATTCAGGAAATATCAATTTATTTTCAAATTTTCCAAGCGAGCAAACCATACAAAAGAAGTTTCAATAATTCTTCAAATCATAGTGAAATTGGCAAATTATATTATAATTAATAGCAACCATAGAAAAAACACCAAAAGATTTTGGAAAATTAGACCCAAGATTAAGTTTCTTTATCTTAGAATATAAAATTGGATAAGTGGTTTCAAGATAATTATTAATTGATCCAGAAAATAGCTGAAGTCCTTTTATCAAATCTTGAACACATTTTTTATGTGTTTTGTGATGAGAAGAGGTGGTATTTGATGTGGTATATGGCATATTATTGCTGTTGATAAAACATTCAAAATGTTTTGTCAAATTTGATTTAAATTGCTTGAACTGGTGTGTGGGATTATCAAACATATGTTTATAGTATCTGTCTACAATTGCTTCTGATTCCCTTATAAATATTCTATTAATATCAAAAAATCTATCACACTTTCTTCAAAACTGTTTATAAAACATTGCAAATTAAAAACATGCTAATACTTCTAAAGATCAATGATTTCTGTTGTTTCTTTAGCAATGTAAAGTTTATTACTCAGGTGATGCAGAAATGTCTCGTGGATATTATATTCTTCTATCGACTTCTCTTGAGCCTCCACATAGTGATAAATATATTTTGCTTGAAATCAGAAATGACAACAATGGTGATAAAAGTATTGATTAAAATTAGGTCTAGTAAAAAAACATGCCCATAAGACAAATTCTTTTCACAATTATTTTTTTTCTGAAGATTTCTTGGAATGGTTATGCTCCACTTGATCTGTTAGAATAAAGATTTCTGATTTGAGTAAATGCATAAACTCTTGGGATATTGCAGAAGAAGTTGGAATCACTTGGATGGTTTGGGGTAATAAAAACTTTTTTCTAGTATTATTTCTATATAAATTCTACTAAATTGCATTCGAAATTATTTCGAGATGATAGTTAGATAGTACAGCAAAGTCGAGTATATATAGGGCTCCGAAAAGTACCGAACCAGTACTGAAGTGATATCAAAATGGTACTGATCTATAGTAAATTTAATATATGGATTGTGACCTACTCATATGAATTTATAGTAAATTTAAGTATCAAACTGGTATCAAACAAGTATCGAAGTGGTATTGTTAGGAGCCCTAAGTATATAAATACTGGTTTTTATAGTATTGAATAGAAGTAAACCTTGGTTGAGCAACCATCAAACAACTTGTCTTTGCCATTTCTTCTCAAGAAACTTTTCAAGAAAGGTAAACTGGGGATCAAAAAATGTAGCAGGTTGTAAAACTTACTTGGTTTAAAATTGCTAGCAAGAAAATCTTCAGAAATCCATTGGGATATAATATATTGATGAGTTTTATTTTCCGTTAACTGGTGAGTCTCAAGTTAAGTTTTATGCTTTAAAATAATAATAGGGGATATAAATTATCTCTAAAAATATAAGGCAAATAAATATACAAATTATTTCTCGTCTTGTAGCTCAGTGGTTTAAACTATGGTAAGCCTGTGTAATCTTTTTTTTCTCACTATGCCAACAATAGTAATTTGATGATCTTATCTCATTGTACCATAAAAATATATTGAACCATACTCGCTAAAAATACCTATAACCACTAAATACTCACTTTATCCAAATTGTAGAAAATTTTTGCTCTTTTATTGTTCCGCTCGTCTCAATTATCATTGCTAGTATCATAGATTAAGACAGTTTTTTCATTTATTGTCATGTTAGTACACTTTCCAAGCTCCGCTTTTTTGGCATATCGTGCTAGCTTCTTGCACTGGTTTTGTTTATATGCCTTCGAGGGGGCCAATCCATTTCATTTACTGCTAGACATGTCCATTTCTTACTTAATTCCTCTTTATAATAACCCACAATATAACTAATGAAGAAAAAAGGTCTTGGTATATTACTATTTTCTGGAGAAATCAAAAGCAACACAATTTGATGAGCCATTAGAAATAAATTTCTAGAGCTGAATCTTGCTCAAGAAGAATAGTGTTTACTTTCGCGGAAAAAAAGGAGTGTGGAAAGTAATATTGATAATCGGTAAAAGAGATACAGTATATGATGATCATCTTATACATATCATGAATTGCTGATCGAATACTTATTAACCAATACATGCATCTCGGTAGGTGATATTATTATCCTGTCACGTTCGGCACTAAGGTATAACATGACATGATCATAAGTGAACATTCTCCAGTGAAACCAAAGATAATGAAGAAAAATTATTCAGCATGTACACACAAATTAAAAGGTCAAATCATATCTTTATTATTTTATGTAAAACGAGAGAGTAAGAGACCGGCTAATTAAAATTGTATTGAGAGAGAAGCAGGATTTCAAGGGAGGAATGAAAATATGAAAAATCACATAATGTGAAAGATCATGCCTGCCGGCATTTAATGGCAAAATTAACTGTAGATATTGCTAAAGAAATTGCACATAGTAGAGGAGGTGTGTGTCTCTCCGAACAATATATTAAAATAATACTCTGATGCTTTGGAAATGCATTAAAAACCATGAATGGTCTGCTAAGCTTCATAGTGTAAAAAATCATAATACCTGGTGCCCAAAGTGTGCTATTGAAAATCGTCGTACTCGAACGATTGAAGATATGAGGAAGTTTGCAGAAAAAAAGGGAGATCTTTGCCTTGCAACTGAGTATATTAATAGACGGGATCCTCTTGAATGGCAGTGTAAAGAAGGCCATGAATGGAAGGCTTCGGCAAGAGATATCCTTAAGGGAACTTGGTGTCCAAGATGTAGTACACCAGGCCGAAAACATGTTATACCAAACCAAAAAATTATCCCAGTACAAGGACACATTACACCAGAACAAGAATGTACTCCAATCCAAAGACGTGATACACAGCATCGAAAATGTAGTCAACGACGATTCAATATTGATATAACGAATAGTATAGCACAAGAACGAGGTGGTAAATGCCTTTCTACAGAATATGTTAATACAGATACCCCGATGTTTTGGAAATGTGTCAAAGGTCATGAATGGTCTACAACCCTTTATCGAATAAAAAATATGGGAAGATGGTGCTCACAATGTGCTGGCAATCTTCCTTGTGGTCTTATGGAAGCTAAAGAAATCGCCCACAGTAGAGGAGGTATGTGTCTTTCTACAGAATATATAAATCACTGTGTTCCGATGCAATTGATGTGTAGTGAGAGTCGTAAGTGGTCCACAAGTTTCAATTGTATAAAGCACTCTAAAACATGGTGCCCATATTGCTTAAATAAACATGAAACTTATGTCGCGAAATCGTAACAAATATTCTTGTCCCTCCTTCTGACATTCACAAACCAGATTTCTTGAAACATCAGAGTATCCTCGTGGACTAGAGCTCGACATCTACTATCCGCAATATGGATTTGCCATAGAGGTACAAGGCAAACAACATGAACAACATGTAAAACATTTTCATAAAAATAAAGAAGACTTTAGGAAACAATTAATACGTGATCAGATTAAAAAAGAACTCTGCGAAGAAAATTGGATTGTTCTAAGATATGTTTGGTATTATGAGGATCCATATCTAGTCATTCCAAATCATCTTCAAGAGCTAGGACTCATTGAATAAACTCAAAAATTAAATACTTCATGATCATTACGTGTATTATTTTTATTAAAGAATAATTTACAAAATGCCAGAGATACATGATAACTCTATCTGAAAATGGCCTAATGTTTTTTTCAAACAATCTTTTCCCTCTCTTTTTACGCAATACCAAACCTAAAAAAAGCAGTGTATTACATATGCGGAATCATCAAGAATGTAATCATCGCCAAATCTCAGCGAAAGCTGGTATAACCAAAAATCGTAGGAAAACAATGTCATTACCTTTATCGCATAATTGACGCGTCCAGTATATCAACTTTAGCTTTGTCTCGTCATAAAATCTAACTATATTCGGGAAAAAAATCGGTTAGTGTATATATGAATGATAAATGCACAGGTAAAGAAACTCGGAAAAATTAGCACGATAAGAACGGTACTGCGGATCGCGTGATTTTTGTGTAATTGTGATCGAAACATACTGTAAATAAGAAAAGAATCGACAATCAGTCACTCCGTTCTTTCTTTTAACCACTAATAATGTCTTCCTCCAAAATAACTCAACACTTTCGTAGTACCGTTTTTCCAATTCACTTCGTTAACCATCGAGTACGATGCATTCAGTTGCCGAGTTTTATGTTGAGGAACTTGAGACCTGACTTATTTCAGTCATCACTTTAGAGACCTTATGCAAACTCTTCACCTTCCCCCCACACGTCTCCCGAAGAGTCTACATCGTCCTCCTACCTGAACAAATTCACAAAATACACTGCAAAACGGCTTCCTGTATGAGATTTATTGTTGTTTGTTATGCGTTGTTCGATCAAGTTTTCAAGACCTTTTCGTTATTTGTAGACTGCTATATTGGCGAACATAATAGTAACTGGCCTTGCTGGTCTCATATCAGTGGACCTTATGTACGCTCGGTACAGAAATAGATGTAATGAGCGTCTTCTCAACGAAACAGTGGAAAAGGGCACTCGACCTAGAGCGGGAATTTCAAGTGACAAGTTTGTTCCTCGACCTGAAATTGTAGAACGCCTTAAAAGAATTTTTCAACCCTATGAAGATCAATCGTCTTATCACATGGTTTATGGTGAACATGGAACCGGGAAAACTACGCTGACCAGGATTGCATCGAGTGAGGTTGGGCACGGAGTCATATACGTTGATGTTCCTGCGAATTTTGAGAAATTTGCTGAGGAGTTTGCAAGAGCTATTAATTTCACATTTGAGGAACGTATCTCTTTTACAGCACAGTTAATGAAGAAAATCTTGGGATCTACCAATAGTAAGTTGGCTATTACTGCTTTATTGTTGATAGCCAATATTTTGATCCTAATTTTCTTTATAGATAAACTTAATTATCCTGAGTGGGTAAGAGCTATGGATGCTTTTAAACGTGCCTCTGTAGTGTACAAAGCAAAGAATGGTAAACCACCGGTTATCGTTTACGATAATATTAGCCGATTGGTTCACAAAAATCCGGAAATCCTCGACATCCTTCAAGATGATGCCAAGGATAATGCCGATGACAGCAAGTACATCGCTGTATTTGTCAGCAGTGAAGGTTCGGTGCCTAGAAGAATGGAATGTAAGTATCGATATTATTCTCGAAAAATTAGTATTAATTACAGATTGTGATTCTTATTTTTAGCACGTAGTGCCTGGTCACGAGCAGATAAACCGGTGATAGAAATTGGCGATCTCGGTGAAAAGGAATCAATAGATTATCTGGTCAACAAGCGCAAGATCAACTCTGTAGAAGCAAAAAAATTATATGAATTAGTTGGTGGGCGCATTGTAGATCTAAAGTCTGTGGCGGGCAAATTTCTAGCTGGACAATCTCTCGAAGGTAAAATTAGATTTACACAATTCTGCTTTGGATTAATTGCTTAACTCTTTTTCTGCTCTTTTTTTTGCAGTCATTAAACAGCAAATATTAACTGAAGTCAAGAAGAAATTTGATTCAGCAAACCTCCTTCGAAATCAATCGCATCACGAGGCAGGAAAGGGTGTAATTAGTGCTTTGTTGGATTCCAAAGAGATTGATACTGATGTATTTAGAGAATTTTTCAAGGGTGAGAAATACAATGAAGTTTTAGAAGCTAACGTGTTTGCATATCATCCATCAAGAGATACCATAACTTTTCAGTCTCGCTCAGTAGAATACTATATTCAGGAAAATGCTAGTATATTCAAATAATTTAGAATTTTATTGCTAAATAGATTAAAATGAGTGAAAACTTTTTTCAATGATTTGGTCATATTTAATACAATATAAATGATAGAGTAGCGGGTCTAAAGGGAGGAATTTCTCGAGCCCTAACCCATAAAATGAGAGTTCCTTTCCCGCTACTCACTATTAACTGTTCTATTGACTGTCTTGCTATCGATCCAAGAACCTATTTTGTTTAAGTTACTACCTCTTAAGTCATTGATTTTATGATAATATTTTTTGATCATATCTCTACTAAGTTTTCCCACCCCAAGATTAATAATATCAGAAGCTACAATAGCACACATATCATCCCGCCTTCTCGCATATATATGCTCGAAGCCAGAGAAAAAAGTTAACAATTTCATAGCCTTCACTCAGTATTAAATGAATCACAATATATTGTTATCTATTTATCTTTTTCTGAACATGAGAGGAAAAAGGATTTCTGAAGATATACGCGAAGATGATCGCTGGCTCGAACGAGAAGATGCTTCAGATTTATTTGCATCACTTTGTTGGTCGGATGAGGATGAGTTATTGTCTTGGAGTTGATTAATCTCATTTTGGAGCGTTGCAATAAAACCCTCGATTGGTTCGAATTTGGATGCAATTTCACCAAAATTATTATGGTAGGTTTGAAGGACTTGTTCGATTTTATCGAGTCTGGTGAGTTCGGTTACGAATCTGACATCACAATTGGCAAGAATTTCATTAAACATGTCATATGTAGAAAAATCAGCGTTGGGTTCGGAATTATACTTGTTGTCTTGTTTACCGAAATGTGAAAAATATAATATGACACTGATAAGCAAGTACATAGAGATTTTCTTAACGAACATCAAAAAGTTGGCGAAGTCCAAAAATGGAGCGATTCCCGAAACAGCAAGCAATGTTATCTATAAGTAGAAATTGGTTTATTAGCATATATACATAAATGTGAGGGAGTTGTCATAGCATATAAACAAATAAACAAACCTTAATCATTTGAATTAGATATTATTTGAGTATATAAACCTTAATCATTAGAAATTAGATATTATTTTGAGTGTATGAATCTTTTTATTTATCATGGATAAAATTTATTAGCGGAGCCTTTAGTAAAACTAAAGAGATTTGTTAAATGTTTTATTCTCTTCAAATCGTTAATTATAACGAAGGGGTAAAGGGTCACAGATATATTGGTTTTCATGTTAATAGTATTTCTAGAGAGATATATTATATTAGGAAAGAGAGTCAATAATTTGTTGTAATATTGTTGAGATATATTTTTGTTTTAGTGATTTATATAAATCTTGATAAATTAGTATTTTTAAGTTATTAAATAGTGGTTTTGTAGATAATGTGTAATGGAAATCATTTTTTTGTGCTTTTGTTTTAATTGTATTATCAGATTAATATTTGACAAAAAGATTATATAAATGTAAAATAATTGAAATTGACATTTGTGTATTTGTGTATATGTTAAGTAGACAGTCTAAGCATTTAAAAAATGTTAATAATCTATTGGGATCAAAATTGTTATAGAACCAGTGGTTGATGAAAAAAATATTTTTGTTTGTTTTTTGTTATTTTCCTCTTA